GACATGTTAGAGTTTACTCCTACCTTGCCCTAAGACATATCTTACTGTGAGGGCCGCTATGGCAATTATCAATTGCAACATCGCACTGCGGCAAGAGTCATCAAATGTACTCGTCCAGAGAACGAGGTTTTTTCCAGTGGTCCTTTAAATGATTGTTCTGACCGCATATAAAACTAGAATGAATAGGAGGAGAGAGAGAGACGAGCCTGGCGGCGACTCCGGATGGAGTCTCGGGCAACGGCTTCCTCTTATTTCTCCACTCGCTTTTCTTATTATCTTATATATCTTTGATAGTGGTATTTACTCTCCTAATGCTTTTGCCTACTACTGTTTCTAATAAAGCTCATTAAAGGTACTCGTTTTTCACAGTGAGGTCCGATGGCATTCAATTTAAAGAATCGTACACACGGACCTTACACAAAGACTAGTCATATTTAAGGATGTCAGCTTAGAATAGGATGACACGTTAAGTAAGAAGACATGAAAAAACTAATTCCGTACTTTCATCTTTCAAAAAGTCATGACATTTGCGAATGCTGACGTAGCCTACCCTTCGAATGACATAAAAGGGCGTATTCATATTGCATCTTGCTCATAGCATGAGTTAGCCCTTTCATTATTTCTTTCGGCAACGTCATCGGCCTTTCTTTTTGGAATTAACGAAACTCTAGTAACGTTAAATGTGACTTTCCGTACTTTATCAGCCATTTTAAATGAAAGGAACTTACATATTGAGCGAATAACACTAATGAAACTGGTCTAGAAAGAATCCTTAACTAATCAAAGGCCTGGGTATATTTTTCCTTGGCAATTTTTTCTTGTTACGCTCATAAAGTTACAGAAGACGCACGTTGTAAAGAGTGGTAGTTCTAAAGATCAGAGGAAACGAGATTTAAACAGGGAATTGGCACAAGCGAACGTTGCAAGTCTCTGGCACAATCAATATCGTGTGTACACTTCGAGATCGCGCCGCGCATTCCATTCTTTTAATTTAGCCCTGAATGTCCTACCATTACTGATCCCTTTTTTTGCTCACACCTTTTTGAATGGTGACCAGCAATTATAATTCAGCCCATTCTAC